AAAGGCCCTTCCTGACTAGCTGGAAGCTTCAGGGTTAGGGAAAAGAAAAAGGTGAGGTCAAGATAATGAGAACAAAAGAAACGGGTGCCTGGTAAGAGGACAGTCAACATTTCAAATACCGCACGCCTCTGAACACCACCACAGGGACATGAAACTGAGATTCCTCAAGTGTTACACACTTCCCCCACCAGCTGCCTGGGAAGGCGAACACACTGCCTACCTTGAGTGCTCACACAGGCAACATCTGCTGTTTTTTACAGAGAAGAAAAAGAGTATTTCTGGCGGAAGGAACTCATGATTCCTCGGGTGCCAAAACCTTGAGTCCAGAACATACCCAGGAAAGAAAATAGTACATACTGGAAGTGTAACAGGATGACCCTCTACCACAAACCTCAGTTGTTCTGACTTCTTTACAGTGATGACAAAGAAATGTGCTGATCTGAAGCAACACTTCTTCAAGGGACATGAAAGACAGTAGGCAACAGCATTTCAGATATTACTGTATCCATAAAGCCTACACAGCAGGGGGAGAGCAAACTGCATTAGTCTTCTCGTAACTCCAAATGACCTTCCAGTTCTGCGCTTGGCAAGGTCCCATGTTCTCAAATTTTCTGACCACTCATGTCCCTTTTTAGGCAGGTGTGTAATTCTCAATCATTCATGCTGTGTACTGGAGCCACCACTACAGGGAAGGTCTTCATATGCGGGAATTCAGAAGGTGGGAGTGAGTCTAGTATTTTGAGGCTTTTATTATGGAAAATGACAACAAACCTCCTCAGACGTGGTGATGCAAGCTGGAATGGCAGTGCTCAGGTTCCTCCCACCTTCAACATTCACAAGGAAGAAGCAGATAAGGTGAGCAGGAACTAGCATCATGTTTCTGACAGCCTGGGAGGGTTCAGTGCCAAACAGCTCAAATGTTGATCAAGCCTGCCTTTACTCTAGTATTAAGAGGCTGATAATGCTGTAAAAATCCTTATATAATACGTTTCAGCTGGGGGGGGTTTCATGGTCCTGGTTTACTCACCACATGGACCCTGAAGGCAATGTTTCTGTTATAAGGTTCCTCTAAAACCCAGTGAATGATCCATCTCTAGAATACATGGCTCTTACTTCATCTTTCCTCAGAAGATGAGATGCATCTTTGAAGGCTCTCTAGTTCCTTTCCTGGAAGAATACAGTGCTAGGGTACTATAACAGCTTTTGAATGGGACTGTTTTGGAAATTGAAGGAAGAAAAAAAATTGGTCTTACCGTGGTTATCATTGGTCACATATGTTTTTTAGTAGCTAAGCACCAGTGCAGGATGAGCAGAAAACTTACTGAAGAAATAATTTCAACAGGTATCAACAGCTGTGATGATTTTCAATGAAGCATAAAGCCTTATTCTAACACATTTTGCTAGCAGGAGAAATTTTTTTTTTTGAAGAAAATTTGGCACATTCAGTATATTGGCCCAGCAGTATATTCAAGTAGCACTTTGCCCTATATGAAACTCACAGAGAAGCTTAGGAGGGGGCCCAACATCATCTTAAATGTAGGTATCATTTAATCCAAATCCAAAAATGCTTCTTAAGCTCAGCCCTATTAGCGGGTTGCTGTCTATGGATACTTAGCTCAGAATCACACAGCACTGTTCTACCACTTTGAGGACAGTCTCTTCTATGCTAGCCAAAAGCTGGACTTGCATTGAAAAATCTCAAAATAACTTCTTCACTGTGTAGTTATGTAAGGCTTTTTTTTAAAAAAGATCTTGCAACTCAGGCTTACAGCGGTAACAGTACAATAATGGTGTTTCCAACAGTGTGCAGCTCTCCCCAAGAGACGTTGGAAGATATTTTGTCAAATTAGTTCCTCAACATCACTAAGTCTGGGAAAAAAGCACAGATCAGTAGTTGGGCCTGTGCCCTTCTATCCTAGTGGAGGTTGGAATAGCATTTCTGCTGATAATAGCTTCAATCAGGCAGTTCTTACTCCAAAGAAAAGTCTTCCTAAAACTCCGGACAAGCCTTCAATTACACAATCACATACTATTCTGGTTTTAAGATCCCCAGAACAGACTGGATGGTGTGTCCTGAATGAAGAAGAATGAAACAGTTTAAAGCCATTTTCTGAAACATAAGTAGAAAAGAATGCTAGTTCTCTACTGAGTTTTTAAAGTGATGTTAACTTTCTCTGTGGACAACAGAACACAAAAACATTTAAAATATCTGATAAGTATTACATAATGCTTTTTTAAAACTTTCTGCGTTTTCTCCAGCTTCAATTGGGGTATGAACTAAAGTCAGTGGAAGTCTTTTTGCTGACATCAATGGGCTCTGAATTAGGACCTCACTGCTTGCCACCCAGCTTGTGTGCTAAATTAATTCAGAAAGGGGGTTTAACGGCTTCTTTCACCTAACGATCTCCTGAGCTGTGCACTGAGAGACAGAGGGCTTTTTTCCCCTCTTTTTGGAGGACAGCAAAGGACAGTGTAGCAATAGCTACGCTGTGACCTGCGTTTTGCAAGTGGAATTTCCAAAAGAAAGAAACTGCTGGCATGCAAATGTGTTACTTTTCAGAGAAAAAATGTTCTCCAAATGTTCTTCAAAACAGAAGAGCACTTACAGAAAGCTATTCCAGTAACAACCTGGATTAGGAACGTATAAACCATAATAAGAACATGCGTGGACACAGTTTGAAGAAACTGGGCAAGGGGACAGAACCAGTTTCAGAGAACAACTGACATACACACAGCTTTACAGACTGCACTGTAGTGGAGAAATTATATCTTAACCGTAGTACTTGCAAACAAGCACTTTCAACAGACACACACTCCAACTTGGTGTAAATGAGGTGATAAGGGATAGGAATACTGCTGTCATCCTATCACTCAACCTCACTCAGTGTCTTTAAGGAAAGGTTAGCTACATTTATGGGAAAGGTATTTTGCAGAAGCCTTCCTGTTTCATAGAGGTCTTGGACAAAATGACCCAGGAGGCCCCTTCCAAGTCTATCAAATGCGGTTCCCTGACTGATGCTGTTGCCCCCCCCCCCCCCCCCCCCCCCAGCTCTGGGATCATACGATTAACACAGCTCTGCTGCACAGGGGAATATTTTATCGACTGCTGTGCTGCCCCATAACTTCAGCTCTATTTAAGAAGGCTGGAGTAGAGCTGAAGTGCAGCGCAATGGCCAGCGCCATTACGGGGGAAGACAGCAGGAGCTGCAGATCACCAGGTTTTTGTAAGCTTGCTTTCATAAAGCATATGATGGCATGCCTTTATATGATCAGACTAAGTAACCATGTTCTCTCTACATGGCAGAGAGAGGCTACATTAAACACACATCAGTACATCTACCACTAAACTGTCCTTCATAGTCCAGCATGTGTTTATTCATGCTCTTACCAAAGTCCAAAATTGTATCCTCAGCTGCATGGGCAAGGAATAAATCGCAAAGGATGCTGCCCTGAATTCCTTGAAATGGCAGTTGCCACTGTCTGACTGATCATGACTCATACACCAGTTGATGTGTCCAGAGGGGAACCAGAGAGAAACAATAAAGAAGAAGCCTGGAAGCACAGTCCTCAATGCCAAATACAGGTTTATGGAGAAATCTATCTGGACTGTGGTGATCAGCTGACCCAAATTTATAGCTACTGGGTCTTCACTGTCCCGTATCAATAAAATCCCAACTCCCATAAGCAGACCTAAAACAGTGATGGTTGGTGACCAGAACTTCACAGTCTGGCAAACTCCCAAGTAACAATCCATCTGTAGGGGAAGAGAGAACCCGGCCAACAGTAGAGAAAAGGATGCAGGAATAATGGATGAAAGGATGAATGGATGAAGGGAAAAGGAAGAGCTCTAAACACCTGGGGAAGGCACTGATGCTTCAGCATGAGCACTGCTTTTGACATGACACAAGATGAGGTGAGGTCGTATTCACGGGTCATGGTGAAATGAAGGAGCCCTAATACTCCTCATCACAATCCACACGACACCAAGCCTGAAGGAACAATTCAGTTGAGACATCAGCTCTTTCAGATAAAATGCAGCTTACTCAACTAATCAGACTTTTTCCCCAAACACAGTGAGCAACGCTTAATCAGGAACATAATGTCGTGTGTGAAGGACATTTTGTTAAAAATACACTGCATGTACTGAAGAACTCTATTTTTTTCATATGATGTGACATATAACGGGCACTGAACCAAAACACCACAGAAGTATGCAGTTTATGCTATCTCACTGGACTACCAAACAACATTTAACATTGAGAAAGTATTGCAGATATATAGAGAGGCTGTCTAAATGTTCCTTTACACTGTTACCACAACGATTGCTTTTCTTCCGTGTTACCACAGCTGTTAAAAAGCCTTAATAGAGAGCTAATAACACAAGTAATTATAAAACATCTTAACCTCATTTGGAAAATATGTATGAGCTTTTTTGTTACTCCTTCTTCCCTGTCTTCTAATCAAGATCTCCACATCGAGCCCAGTTTTGCGTTTTCTTAGCAGCATAAATTAGAAGCAACTCTATTCAAGTCAATAAAATTACTCCAACATGAAAAACAAATCAGCCATCTGCAAAAAACAGAGTCTAACAGGTAATTTTCCACTGACAGCTCTTACCATAAAACAGGTTACAGAGATTACTCTTTTATCTAACACTGAAAGTAAACAATTAATGCAAAATGTACATCTGTAAAGACAGCATGTTCACTACTTGTGCCCTTTATATTTAATTATTTTCATCTTAGTAAGCAGACAGTTAAGTAAGACTACCATCAAGCTGTAGATGGAGCTTATTCATCATGCAAAACAGGCAGCTGAACATCTCTATTTATTTATGCATTATTTTACCTTTTGTTCCCAACTTGGAAAGCATGTGGAATCTATGAGACATTTTCACGCATCATTTCTTGCGGGAGAACATCAAGTCACCTTTTATGTCCTCAGGCAAACTTCTCCTACCTGATCTCAATAACTGTCCATATCAAAATTATTTTTCATACCTTGTGTAAGTAGCTGGAGGTTTCGGACTTCTTCTCTCACCTTCAGCTGAAGGACTTGCTGCAGAATGTGCTGTCGCAGGCTTTCCTGGGCAATGCCCATTCGTTCAAGCTTTTTGTCAGTAAGTCTCAGCAAAGCACGGCCTGGATGCAAAAGGCAAAAAGAAGAATCACCCAAGGATTTCCATTAATGCAGTATTCTCACTCTGACAGGATAATTTGCTGCAGAAAAAATTCTCAGCCCTGAAATACCTCAGTCTGAGAGGTTATTGTTTCATCAGTTAGGTACTTCCTTACTGTCAGAGATCTATGTTCCACTCCTCCCTTTTCTTTTGATTTTCTGTATTGTTTTGGTGCTTTGTGAGACATTTAGGCATGTAAAATAGGTATCTTATGCCATTTTAGGCAACCAATTGCCATTCTTAAGTGCCAGCTGGTCTCCCACAGGTAGGATATCCCCTGTAAGTCTACAATTGGTCCAGGTGCCTAAATACACACTCACTTATTTTCAAGCATCTACATTGCTGTCAAGAAACCACCAGTGAGTTTTACCAATTTAATAAATTTAAGATATACTGAGGATGAATATTGTTGCAATTCAGATATGCCTATAGTGTAATAGCACCATTTCTCAGGAGGGCCCTGTACTTTGTGGTCCAGCCTTCAAAATCACTCTCAACAGTAACCTATCACAGCAAAACAGAAAAAAGAGCCAGAGATTTCCCTTCAGACTATCAGTTGTATCTAAATCATTCCTGAAAAAGATGTTTGCCCAACTATAAGGAGCCTGGTCTTTGCAGGCAATCACTCCCAGTTTGTGACTTATCTTTACCATTAGGGTAATGTTGAACCACAGTCCCATGCAGATTGTAGATGTTAAGAAAATCAAACAATCCACATGCCCCAGATTCTGCTAGTGGAACTCTGACTCCATCTTTCGGGCATCGTTATGCTGTATGTAAACAGGAGGAAGGCAGCACACTGGCTGAGCCAACACTAAGGAAGTATTTAGACCAAGCAGAGAACCAAAGCATCAAGCAAAGTTTTACCTTAGGAAGAAAACCAAAACTTACTTTCTTTGGTCTTCATCACTGCCGTAAGCTAGTACAGGGAGGAGTGCCCTGCAGCCCTCTACTGACCCTTGATTCCCAGTATATACATTTGCTATCCAAAGGTGCCGTGGCCAATACCGGCAAATCACACTGGAGCTACGTTGACACTACCTTGGAAAACGGCATGCTGTTTGGTTCACTTTTTAAAACAAACTCAACTTTTTACTTCCTCTAGTTCTGACTGTAAGCATTTTTTAACTATTAAAAATCCCTTCTTCGATTTCTCAGGCTTTATTCTGAAACCAGAAGAAGATAGCAAAGAGCAAGTTACTCCCTCTGCAATACAGCAGCCTCTGTGCTACCATTACTGTGGCTTTTGGATGAATGGTACAATTTAGCTCATCATAAAGTGTTACTCAACACAGCAAGATAAGGCCCTTATTCAATCTCTTTGCTTACAAAACAGCAACGACTACAGAATTTTTATGATTATTTTAATTAAAAAATTAAAGATAAATGCCAAGAATTTAAAGGGGCACATAATATTTGCCCCAAACCAAGCAGTTAGCGGTATACCCTTCACTAACGTCGCGGTTTAACCTCAGTCAGCAACTGAGTACCACACAGCCGCTCGCTCACTCCTCCCCCCTGGCAGGGTGGGGGAGAGAATTGGAAGAGCACAAGTGAGAAAGACTCATGGGTTGAGACAAAAACAGTTTAATAATTGAAATAAAATAACAACAACAACAACAATAATAATAATAATATTATACAAAGCAAGTGATGCACAGTACAATTGTTCACCACCCGCCGACCGATGCCCAGCCAGTCCCCGAGCAGCGGCCCCCCCGGGCCAGCTTTCCCCAGTTTATGTACTGAGCATGACGTCACATGGTATGGAATGTCCCTTTGGCCAGTTTGGCTGTGCCCCCTCCCAGCTTCCTGTGCCCCTCCAGCCTTCTCAGTCGGTAGAGCATGGGAAGCTGAAAAGTCCTTGACTAGTGTAAGCACTACCTAGCAACAACTAAAACATCGGTGTGTTTCAACATTATTCTCATACTAAATCCAAACCACAGCACTGTACCAGCTACTGAGAAGGAAATTAAGTCTATCCCTGCAGAAACCAGGACAACTAGATTTCACCCAGGGTGCTAGATTTCACCCAGAAATGGTTCTGTGAAGCAGTTAGTGGGATCTTGATATGATGCAATGTAAAATACCAGGATATTACTATTAACAAAGCAAGATGTTATTGATCATATAAAAAATGACAGGGTTCATATATTTTCTGCCCTTCCATACCTCGCAAGCACTACACGCTATGGAGGATGACCTTCTGATTAGGAAAACTTTCTTTGAAATCACAAACAAGAAGAATTCTATGGGTTAATGTAATAACAAAATATGGAAATTAGTCTCTTACAGATCAATGCCAGCTGTCCAACTCCCCTGGTGATACAGACAGTAATAATGACTTCAATTTTTATATCATCTTATCACACTAAAGCATCTTAAAGCAATTTATAAAAGATGTACAGCAGTCCAAGAGTATGGTCTGTAATGTCAATCTAGCAACTGAAAGCAAACAAAATATAAACAAGTCATCAGTTTAAAGAGTGCCAACACGCATGTCATCTTAGGGCAGGGAGTCAGCAACAGTAATGTGAAAGGACAGACAGAGGCCATGCATCTCATCCAGTGCCCTCCACCTCTTTTTGGCCATGGATATAGTCATTACTCTTTACTTCCTCTGGGCAACTCTTTGTTTCATATTCAGATAGGTTTTCTACCCCAGTCACTGCCTTTGGAAGTTGAGTGTGTACAAAACAGAGACTTCTCTTTGCAACTTCTGGCATGCCAGTTCCTCTGCGGCTTAGGCTCAAAGCACAATACCATTGGAAAAAATTGTCTTTGACTCATACTATCTGCAGCAGCTTGCACAAGTTGCCTTAAATTAACTCCTTCTTGCACCAAATCCAATGTGACATGTTGAGGCAGTGATGAGGTGAGAAGGCAAACATCCCAATGTGGCTTTTCAAGAATGCAGTATGTGAACTGAACAAAGAAAATTCAATCCTCCTCATACTTTCTTCCCCCTCAACACTCAGAACAACAACATCCAAGTCAGAAATGGAATAATTTTTTATTCCAGTACTAAGTCATGCCTTTGAAAAGATATTGCTAATGCCTGGATCAGTCACCAAAGCCAATTAGTTACTAAGGCCAAGGTCCTGACAATCAGTTTATGATTTCGGATGCTTCAGTGTCTTGCTTCCTGTACTGTACATATCTGAAAGAGTTATCATTTGGCGCTAAGAATTCTGTAAGGGTTATTGAACATTGAAACCAGTTGTCCAGAGAGGTTGTGGAGTCTCCCTCTTTGGAAACATTCAAAACCTGACTAACAAGGTCCTGAGCAACCTGCTGTAGTTGCCCCTGCTTTGAGCAGGGGATTGGACTAGATGATCACCAGAGGTGCCTTCCAACATCACCTGTTCTGTGATTCTGTGAAACAACCTGCATGAAGGATCTCAAGATAAAGATCTATTTTCTTTGAAAAAGAGACGATTAATGAAGGAAATCAGTAAGCATACACAAAAGATGGTCATTTTGGCAAGCATCACAGTTTAAAACAGAGAGACAGCTATACAGTAAAAATTGGGGATAGACTTTTAGTTTTCAGAGTGCTGGATAGAATATATTGTCAAGAGCAGAACATGCAACAAACGTAACATTTTCTAAAAGTGTACACCGATCTTTGCTAGGACACAAGTAAAGGAACTTTACCTGCATCTCAGGAAAATTTCCCAACGCTACAGAACTGGCGCTACCTCTTAGATGTAGCAGCTACACGCACACAAGAGATCAGGAGGTTTTTTTCAAAAGCACCTTGACCAACAGAACCATAAAGATCGCAGTCACAAATACCTAGGCCTTGGCTCTAGCTAACTGCAAGGCTGGAAACCAAATGCCTTAAAAAAACCCACAACTCCCTCAGTACCTGTACGCATCTTTTAGCACCTAAATGCCATCCCTCTTATACTCAGGACAGATCAGCCGTGGAATGTTCTGAGACACCCCGAGGGCAGACACAGAATATAAAATACTTTCCAGCTTAATAACGGATTGATGGCCTAATTTTTTCTAATATGACTTAGCTGCTGCAGATCTCATTTGATCAAGCTGGGATTAGATGAAAATTTGAACGGAGGGAGAAACATTGCATGCCACAGAACATTAATATGAGTATAAGCATTGGTCTAATGAGGTTGGCATTGGCCCTAGAGCAAGAAATGTGGCACAGTCTGATGTACCTAATCAGAAATGCTCGTACCTCCCTGTACTGGTATAGCCTACTGCTCTTCTCCCCGAGCCTGTGAAGCTGCACCAACTGCCAGTTCACAGACATCTAGCGGGGCACCACGTGAGAAGCCTTGAAAGTACACCTGCCATGAAGGTGAATGAATAGGTAAGAAAGGACTTATTAAATGTGTAGAAAGAACTGAAGAAATACCGGGAAATGAGAGCACATAGTTAGTAAGAGGCTGGTCTCATGCAAAACCCATGAAGAAAACTATGACTAATTTAAAGTTGATGAAAATGATAAACCACTAGTGGGAACAAATGATGTGTGCGAAATACGGCCAAGAAAGGTGATCTTGTCTCCCGAGTACAATATGATAGGTATACCTGAATGTCAAGACAAGATATTCAGTTTACTTACTATGGGGCACAGAATCTAGGAAACAAAGAACAGGGCGGAGAACACAAGGACATTAAAAAATGCCCTAATGCCAGACCAACAGCTCACCCAGCCCTGTATTCAGAGTGGCAATAGGAGATATATTTCAGGAGAGCTATTGGGAGGGCTGCTTTCTGAAGTCATTCCCTTTGTACCGTGCTATCATCCAGAACTGTTATACTAGGGTTATTAGAGAGTATGGCATTTTTAGCACCTACTTATTGTCCTGATGTCCATAAATTTGTCTTTTTGATCTTCCTGATACTGTCTGCCTCTGCGGCCTCCTAGGGTAGCAAATTCCAGAAGCTCACTGCCCATTTTTGTCTGTTTTATATTGAATTCTTACTAAT